TGCATGCCTGAGGCCCTGGGTTCGATTCCTCAGCACCACATAAGCAAAAAGAAAAAAGCCGGAAGTGGCACTGTGGCTCAAGTGGTAGAGCGCTATCCTTGAGCTGAAGAGCTGAGGGACAGCGCCCAGAGTTCAGGTCCCACAACCGGACACCCCCCGCCCCCCAAAAAGAACATTTCTGGTCCCAAGCATTTCAGATAATGCATACTCAACATTGATGATATAGTCTTACTTCACTGACAGTAAAACATGTTTGAGGTTTATACAAAAACAAAGAAAACCTCTTCTTTATTTACAGAGATATAGTATAAATGTGGGCTATGCGCCAGGGGCCAGTGGCTTACACCTGTAATCTTAGCTTCTCAGGAAGTTGAGATCTGAGGATCATGGATTAAAGCCAGCTTGGAGAAGGAAAGTTCATATGACTCTTATCTCCAACAAACTATTCAGAAAAAGCTGGAAGCGGTGCTATGGCTCAAGCGGTAGAGTACTGGCCTTGAACAAAAAGAGGCTCAGGGATAGTGTCTAGGCTCTGAGTTGAAGCCCCAGGAGTGGCAAAAAAAAAAAAAAAAAAAAGCGGCGGGGTGGGGGTGGGGGGGTTTTGACTTAACACCAGGACTGGGATTTGGTCTCTGAGAAGTTACTTTTTCTTCTCTGAAGTAGGTATTGGTTAAAGTGTTGGCAGTAACTTGAAACTCCCCTCTAGAAACTGGATTACCAGCCAATTCTATTCTGGGATTTAAAGAAGAACCAAGAATCCCTGAGAGAATCCTGTACTGTTATAATGATTTTAGTCCTCAATTGCCCTTGAGCCAGGGAAGTCTGTAGTGAATACTTTTATTTATTCTCCCAGTCTTTACTTTTACCTTTTAGAGACCAGGATTATCCGAGAGAAGCACTTCTGACATGATGGATATATAAAACTTGAATTCTGGAGAGCAAGTACTGAGGCAAGAAGAAATTTTCTTCTTCCATTCATGCGTTTATACTGTGACCTACAACACAAAATAACAATGTGAATGAATAGCAAATTTCTAATTATAAGGAAAACCTTACTTCCAAAGTTAAGGCAGCATTTGTTTGGAAGGCAACGAGTGTAATTGGAAAATTAAACTTTTTCTGCTTAATTGAAAATTAAGTTGAAAGTAGTGGCTCAAGCAAATACTATTTCTGAACAAATGCTCCATTACAGTAGTCTAGAAAGAATATCACATCCTTTACCCTTTATAAGATATAGAATGTGTACTTTACAGGACGATGTGCTGTCCCTCAGCTCTTCAGCTCAAGGACAGCGCTCTACCACTTAAGCCACAGTGCCACTTCTGGTTTTCTGGTGGTTTACTGGAGACTAGAGTCTCATGTACTTTGCTGCCTGGGTTGGCTTAGAACTGGGATCCTTAGATCTCAGCCTCCTGAGTAGCTAGGATTACAGACATGAGCCACCAACACCCGGCTTTGCTGTTTCTTGCCATTCTGACTTGGACAAGACTGAATCTTCTTAGCATAGTTTTGATTTACATTTCCTTTATGGGTCAGAATGTTGAACAATTCTTCATGTATTAGCCATTTTTCTTTTTCCTTTTTGTTTCAGCCCTGGGGCTTCAACTCAGGACCTGGTACTTGTTCTTGGGTTTTTGTCTCAAGGCTTGAGTTCTACCACTTGAGCCACAACTTCATTTCTGGCTTTTTGGTGTTTAACTGGAGGTAAGAATCTCACGGACTTTGCTTCTGGGGCTAGCTTTCAACTTCAATCCTCAGATATCTTCCTCCTGTGTAGCTAGAATTACAGGCATGAGTGGCACTTGTATTTCTTAAGCTGAGAACTGTTCAATTTGTGTGCCCACTTATGAACTGGATAATTCTTTTGGTGTTTGAGCTCTTCATATATTTTTGGATATTAATCCTTTATTCATTCAATAATTGAGATTATCTCCAAAGTTGTGGCTCTTGGTTCTGATAATTCTTTCTTTTGCTGTGCAAAATCTTAATTTGATAGTCTCATTTGTCAATTCTTGTTCTTATTTCTTGGACAATTAGATCCCTATTCAGAAAATCACCTATGCTTTGTCAGAGTTTTCCCTATTTTCATATAGTAGTTTCAAAGTTTCAAGTCTTACACTAAGATCTAACTAATTCAAGTTAGTTCTTTTATAATGTGAAAGATAGGTCTTGTTTCAGTCTTCTGCACTAGGTAACTAGCTTTCCCAGCACCAATTGTTGAAGAGGCTACCTTTCTTCTGTATGGAATCAAGCTGACCTTCTCTCTCTGCTCCTCACATACACAAAATGACTCTTTGTCTCAAGCTTTTATGTTCATAATACCTTTGCCTACAATATTCTCCTCTAGGCCTTGCAATAGCAGGCTTCTTCACATCCTACAATAATGTTATCTAGTCATATAGCCCCATTTTATATTAGTAGACATTTCCTTCCTTAGCTTTTCTGACATCACCTGTTTTACCTAATCATAGTCTATTAACAATCCTTTACATGAACTTATTCTTGTTTGTTCTTTTCCACACGAATCCCTAAGCCTTCATAAAGATAGTCAATAGTCTGTTTTGTACTCTATTATATTCCCAGTGCTTACCACATAAGTACAATGAATATTCTCTGAATGAAAGTAAGCAGCATCTTGTAATTTAAGAAAGTTTTTAGCCCACTGCAGTCATATATACCCATAAGCTCAGCACACCTCAAGTCTTTATAGAAAAAGTGTCTTTATTTTCAGGGACTTTATACCCATCAGCATATTGTTATAGCCTGGCCACGCAAGAGAAATAAAGGAGAGGTTATTTTATAAACATAAGATATCTACTTTCTGGAACTTTCACCATACCTGGAAAAAATCTTTTTTTTCTTTCTAGTTTTCTTATTGGTAGTGAATAGTTTTGTTTCTACTATGAAATAATGAGCCTTAAAAGAAGAGTTTCTCTCAGAAAACCACAGTGAAAACCAATGGAACATAAGCATGCATTTTGTTGACATAGAAAGCATTCAAGGGGCTGGGAAGGTGGCTCAGTGGTAGAGTGCTTGCCTTGCATGCATGAGGCCCTGGGTTCGATTCATCAGCACCACATAAGCAGGAAAAAAAAAGCCGGAAGTGGTGCTGTGGCTCAAGTGGTAGAGTGCTAGCCTTGAGCTGAAGAGCTGAGGGACAGTGCCCAGGCCCAGAGCTCAGGCCCCATGACTAGACTCCTCCCCCCCCAAAAAAAGCATTCAAATCCCAGCGATAATCCCAGTTTATTCTTTTACCTCCTCATCTTTACAGATAACTTTTTTCCCCATACTGTTCAGAATAAAGTTGTTATACATCATTTCGTCAAGAATGAATAAATCTTTGCTAAGAGAATCACTGCCTAGTATTTAAGAGTCAATGCAATGTAAACAGCCAACTACTGTGTCAGAGACCCTGAAAAAGTGCTTGGGATTGACGGTGAGAATTACACAGATGAGAAGGCACATAATTCAATTCATTTCGCCATTGTTTTAATGGGGACTGGATGCCAGTAGCTGTGCCTCTCAGCCTGGCTACTGGGGACACTAAGGTTGGGAGGCTCAGATTAGGAGGATAGTGGCTTGACGTCAGCTAAGCAAAAAAGCTCATGAGATTCCCTCCACCCCCGTCTCAATAGGAAAGGCTGGGCACGATGGTTTGTGTCTTGTCAGCTATAAAGGATGCATATATATGGGTCATTGTCTAGTTCGGCTCAGACAGAAAGTGAGATTCTATCTCAAAAATATTCAGAGCCAAAAGGGCTGAAGTTGTAGTTCAAGTGGCATAGTGTCTAACAAGTAAAAAGCTCCTGAATTCAAACTCTAGTTGCAAAATAAGTTAACTCTAACTTTTGAAGAGACCATATTAAAGTAAAGGATTCTTGCATTTCATTCAGCAGGCACTGAATATCTATAAAAGGTATGACGAAGCTGGGTGCTGGTGGCTCATGCCTGTAATCCTAGCTATTCAGGATGCTGAGATTTGAGGAATGTGGTTCAAAGCCAGCTGGGCAGGAAAGTCCATGAGACTCTTATCTCCAATTAACCACCAGAAAACTGGAAGTAGTGCTGTGGCTCAAGTGGTAGAGCACTAGCCTTGAGCTGAAGAGCTGAGGGACAGCACCCAGGCCCAGAGATCAAGCCCCATGATTGACAGACAAAAAAGAAAAAAAAAGGTATGATGAAAGTGAGTCGGGTATTATTGAGCTGGGGTACAACATATACAATTAAAGGTATATTAGGCAATGATCAATTAGGCATGGCTCTTTCTCTTATTAGGTACATGACTGGCTAGAAAAGGAGGACAGAGGAAGCAAATGTCATTTGAGACAGGGAAGGTTCTACATTTGAGTAGATTCTTGAAGGATAAATTGTATATTGTAGAGAAACAGGAAAAACATTCAAGATAGCCAACAAAATTGCTTTAAGGAATTAATTGTATTCCTATACTACTTTGTTGAATGACAACTCCTTTGTACAACTAAAGATAAAAATAAATTTTTATAAAAATTTTTGCAAAGTGTCTTTTCTTCTTTCCTCTATGCTTTTTAAAATTATTTATTTTATTGTGAAAATACTGTACAGAGGGGTTACAATTACATGGGCAAGATAATGAGTACATTTCTTTCTTTCTTTTTTTTTTTTTGGGTCCGGTCGTGGAGCCTGAACTCTGGGCCTGGGTGCTGTCCCTCAGCTCTTCAGCTCAAGGCTAGCGCTCTACCATTTGAGTCACAGTGCCACTTCCGGCTTTTTTTCTTTTTGCTTATGTGGTGCTGAGGAATCAAACCCAGGGCCTCAGGCATGCAAGGCAAGGGCTCTTCCACTGAGCCACCTTCCCAGCATGAGTACATTTCTTATCAATCATTGTAGCCTCCTCCTTTGTTTCCCCATCCCATCCCTTCCCATCCTCTCCCGCCCCCCCCCACCAAAGTTGTAAAGTTCGTTTTTGACATAACGACTTGTACATCTCATTGTTGCAATGGGTCCACCTGTATTCCTATTTAAACGATTTGTTTTTGACATCAAATACAGTGAAAGCCGGGGTTATACCGTGGGGGAGGGACATACAAAGCAACAAAGAAATAATCTTATAAATGTGTTAGAAACAATCACATGAAAGAAAAAAAAACATTGGAATACATATCTTAGGGTTCATTTCCCTAACATCACCTTATCTGACCTTTCCTGCTTGACTCAGACATATACTAGATATTGCAAATAAGGGAAACCATGGGACCTATGTTTCTTTGGGCCTAGCTTACTTCACTTAATATAATTTTTTCCAAGCCTTTCCATTTCCTAACAAATGGGGCAATGTCATTCTTTCTGATGGAGGCATAGCCATTCAACGGACAAGGGTCTCATATCTAAAATATACCTGGAACTCAAAAAATTAAATCCCCCAACAACAAATCCTCAAAGAAACAACTGCCCAATAAATAAGTGGGCTGAAGACTTAAAGAGAAACTTCTCTGAAGAGGAAAGAAGGATGGCCAATAGACACGCTAGCCATAAAAGAAATGCAAATCAAAACAACATCGAGATAGCATCTCACTCCAGTTAGAATGTCTAAAATCAAGAACTCTAATAACAACACATGCTCGAGGGGATGTGGACAGAAGGGAACCTTACTGCATTGTTGGTGGGAATGTAAACTTGTTCAACCACTTTGGAAAGCCTATGGAGGTTCCTCAAAAGACTTCACATAGAGCTCCCCTATGACCCAGCAATCCCACTTTTGGGCATTTACCCAAATGCTTACAAACAAGACCACACTAAAGCTACCAGCACGACTATGTTTATTGCAGCATTATTTACGATAGCTAAGATATGGAACCAACCCATATGCCCCTCAGTAGATGAATGGATCAAGAAAATGTGGTATATATACACAATGGAATCCGCTATGCTTTTTTAATATTATTTTCCAAAGTCCTCTCGTTTTCCTGTTTCTTCTGTTTAGTTTTATTTCCCAACTGCTTTCTTTGAGGCAATTTGAATTGCCTCTGGGCCTCTTGCTTGCTTGGCTGTCTGCCTATTGCTTTTTCTCTTAATTTTCTTCCTTGGTCTTTATGTGCTAGTAAATTATATTATCAGGAATATATAATGGTTCTGGGTATTGAAGGCATAACTCAGTTGGTAGAGTGAAAGCATGAAGTACCAAGTTCGAATCTCGGTCCAGATCTCAAAGAAAAAAAAAAAGGAAAAAGAAAATGTCATTCTGAGTTCTGTTCCTCACCTCCTGCCCAAGAGAGTCACATTTCTTTTTTATTTTTTTTATTTTTATTTTTTGTGAACACATTGTACAGAGGGGTTACAATTACATGGGCAGGTTAATGCATACATTTCTTATCAAGCATTGCAGCCTCCTCCTTTGTTTACCTTTCACATCCTTTCCCAGCCTCCCCCAACCCAATCCTCCCCGAGGCCCCCCCCCCCACCAACATTGTAAAGCTCATTTTCCACATGACTACTTGTACTTCTCATTGTTGCAACAGGTCCACCTGAGAGTCACATTTCTGTGCTTACACTTTTCTTCTTCTTTTCCTATCTAAAATGTTCATTCTTCTTGCTTATTCTTTATGGTTATGTTTAGGAGACTTGCTGAGAAAATTTTCTCAGTTAAGTGATCCTGCTCTCTTACACTTAATACATTACAGTACATTTATCTGTTTCATGCCATTTTCCAGAAGTAGAAAAAAAAATCCTAAAAAGGTAATTTTGATTTCAGGTGCCAGGCTCAAAAACTGTCAATCTGATATAGCTATCTATCCTCTTTATTATTCTTTACTTTTCATTAGCCAGGTTTGCTGTATACCATTAATTATAAAACACAACTTTACAAAAATTACAAAATAATCTTACATTTGCATGTGACATAAACAGAGGAGCTCCACATATATACTTAATACTTATTACAGCTAATTGCATATGCCTAATTTTTTCACAATAGTGGTTATATCACAATATAGAGTAGAAGATAGAAGACAGAGTATCCTTTTTAGGGCTTTAAAGTGAAATTCTATATTGTTCTAAACTATTCTTTACCTGACTTACCAAATGCTAGCTTTTGGAAATAGGTTAAATCTGTAAAATGACTAGAACAAGATAAGTATGGTAGGATAATTTAAACTGACATTTCACATCTTAATGTTTCCTGCATAATTGGACACACAAGTTACTAACACATGAAAAAAAAACAAACATGAGATATTGGGATTGTTTGTAAATCAATTATGCAAGCACTAATTGCTATTCTTTGAAAGATAAATTGTCAATGTATAATCTAAGGGTTTACTGCCCTCTAGTGGACTAATTATGTCTAAAAACTAGTAAACTTGGGAACTGAAAAGGCCAATATTATTAGTTTACTATTTTTATTTTACCTGAAAAACTTGAACAAAACAAAACATCAAAGAAGAAACAAAACTAGGCTCTAATGTTCAGGAATATATGACTTATGGGGCTCATACAATGTTTAACTATCAATGAAGAGACAAATGAAACAACAACAAAACCCAAAACACTAACAAGATCCCCACAACTCCTCCCACAAAAAAAAGTATATTCAAACTTTAGACTTCTATATTGCAACCACTTATCTAAGGGCCAATTTTATCTCATTAATATTGCAAGCGAGTAAAAGGCAATAAAATCTGAATTAAGTTTCCCTTCAAATCTTTCTAAAAAATGTTTTCCGTTTCAGGAATGGCACTGTTCTCTAACCAGTCACAAGGCCAGCCAGATATGTGGGAACACATCATTTATTTCTCCTTTTTCCTCGCATCCATCAGTAAGTCCTTGAATCACTGCTACATTTTAAACCATCCCTGTGTGCCAGTGGTTCATGCCTGTAATCCTAGCTACTTAGGAGGCTGAGGTCTGAGGGAAATCTCAGTTTGAAGCCAGCCAAAGCAGAAAAGTTCATGAAACTCCATCTCCAAAATAACCACCAAAAAGCTGGGCTGGAGGCATGGCCCAAATGATAGAGTGTCAGCCAAGTGAGCAAGTCAAATAAGTGCAAAGCTGAATTCAAATACTAGTTCCAGAAAAAAAAAAAAACAATAAAGCAGCATTCATTCCCTCTTGCATACGCTACATTATTACATTACTACAAATCACCAGCATCTCCGGTTCATGCTGCTACATTAGCCTTTTAAACCGTATGATCTCTAGTGCACGCCTGCCTCCCTAGACATATCTCCTACAGTTGCCTTTTCTGAAAATGTTCCAGCACCACTGGTCTTTCCTCAGGGTCATGAATACTAAGGTGTCAAGATCTAGCCTATCTTTTAAGGATTGATCATTACCTTACTCTGGGCCTGGGTGCTGTCCCTCAGCTCTTCAGCTCAAGGCTAGCGCTCTACCACTTGTGCTACAGCGCCACTTCTGTTTTTTTTTTCTTCTGCTTATGTGCTGCTGAGGAATGGAACCCAGGGCCTCAGGCATGCAAGGCAAGCACTCTACCACTGAGTCACCTACCCAGCCAGAGTGTTATCTTTTTAACTATCAATCTCCTCAAGATTTTCTCAGTCCAACCAAATCTCAAAGTTTTCTTATTCATTTTCTGATTCTCCCACTAAGACAGGGTCTTGCAATGTGGCCCAGGCAGGTTTCAAATTCCTGATCCTTTGGACTGACTAACTCCTGCATACCTGGCTCTGTTATTCACTTCCTTAGCTAGACTGAAAAATTCAATCACAAGAGGAATATATCCTTTCACTATTGTAACACAGGCAGTCGATAGTATAAAGGGAAGCACTTAAAAAATGCACCAAAATGAAGGCTTAAAAGGTAGAATGCTAGCCTGAGGCAAAACGGTCAATGATACTCCTAGGCGGGATAGGAAAAAAAAAAGTTCCCTTTGGCAAGGGGAGGGGAGAAGCAATTAATGTACTGTATAGTGAGTGAAAAATTACTTAGTTCCCTAAGACTCAAGGCTTCTGGGGTTAGGGAAAAGGATGCTTATCTTTAAAAAAAATTATTTTCAAACTGAGAAACAGGAATGAGTAAGAACAAGCTAGGTTGGGAAAAGGGCTTAGCAGAGACCTCAAAGTAAGGGAGGATGTTCTTGAAGACCTCAAAGTAAGGGATGTTCTTGAAGAACAAGGAAGGCATTTGGGGATTTGGGGGCTCAGGGTCATGGTTCACTGGTAGCTGATATGTGCGAGAGCCACTAGGTTCAATCCCAGGACCACAAATAATACCAATGCCAGTGATAAATAGATTTTGTGTATTGCTGGAGCTGACTAGCTAGAGTGTGGAAAATCACTGAAGCTGGAGAGGCAGGCAGGGGTCAGACAAGAATGGGCTTGTAAACTGCATCAAGGACTTCAGACTCACACCTAAAGGCAAACAGAAGCAACAGACATGTTTTAAAAGCGGAGTATCAGGATTAAATTTGCACTTTATCAGGTTATGAATGTGGAGATCCAATTGGAACGTGGCCAGCTAAAGCCGGAGAAACGGCCGGGAGGCTACTACCCACAGCTACGAAGCTGTCTTGGGGTGGAACTACAGCCATGCCGGTAAACAGTGGAGAGGGAAAAGGGATCTGAGCTACGGAGGTGGGAGATGAGGAAGGGGGTTCTAGGAAACTCTCAAGCTCCTGGTTTGAGCAAGCACCTCGCTCGGGTATTGTCTTCGTGCTTTCAGGGCACTTTGTGTCAGGTCGCTGGAGGAAGTAGGCAGCCGGGGAAAAATGTCAGGCCGTGAGGGGAAAACAGGTTGCTGTCCAGAAAGACCTCATCCCGAACCCAAACACCCTCCGAGCCAACCCTTCTTCGAGTGGCCTGGCCTTAAGACCGCTCCAACTGGCAAGACAAGCTACGTGCCACCAGTCCCCGCTCCCTACAAGTTCCGCCTGTACCTCAACCTAAGAAAGCTCTGCTGCCACTGAGCTCCGTGCGACGACCTCTCTGATCCCGACCAGGCAGCTCGCCCGGGGGCGCACCCCAATAAACGTTCCTGGACATCTCTTTAGTCCTTTCTGCGAGGTCCTTTTTCTCGCCGAAAGCCTTACACTTTGGAAGAGACCCCGTTCCGCAGCGCGCAACACTGCCCGGTAGCCAGTCCTGATCTGCACTTAGCCAAGCTCTCGCTAGTATGAAAAACGTCCATCCAACACAGGACATGTCAATAAACAAACGTGCGCGGCGTGCAGGCAGCACCGAGCAGCACGCCCTTCTGCCGTCATGGCCGCCCGACGTGAAACGCAGACTCACAGTTGTCCGCCACCCTCGGGCGCTCGCCAAGAGCCCCTTTCCCGCAACTCCTCACCTGAGGCGGAGAACGTGGGGAGCCGCCCGGGCAGAGGCCGAGCAGCGCCGGGCGACTGAACCCGGCAGCGGCGACACCAGCTCCTACCAATCGAATCTCCCGCGGCCCCTTCCGCCGGAAATGACGTCACGACGCGGCTTTCTCAGACCCAATCAGAAAAGGCGTTGCGGGAGAGACGCTTAGCTGGCCGCCAAATCCGGCGAGCGTTCGGAAGCGGCCTTTTTCGTCCAACTGTGTGGAGAGACGGGGCTTGAGGGGAGCAACCATTTTCCTCACGGAGCGGGGCGGGGCCCGTGCTGTAGTGCGAGCTGTGAAGCTGGTTTCGAGCCAGCTGGACGCAGGGATGAGGCGGAGTGAAACAGGGGGTGCAGGCCGGGTGGCAGAGGGCTGGGCGCCCCGGGGAAGGCAGGTGGGGCCGCTGCTCCTCCGTGTAGGTGTGTGTGCGCACGCGCGTGCGTGTGTGGACTGGGCAGAGACGCTGGCGGGAGGCGGGGCTGGAGCGGGCTACCGGAAGCCAGGTGAAGCGGAGGGGGCGGGGCCCGCCGGCGGGGCGGGGACTCCCGCGGCCCCGCGTGGGGACGGGCTTTGCCGGCAGTGTTGGGTTGTTCTGGTTGACCCCAGAACCGAGTCCCCGTGGGAGCGGTTGGGCTTGGCGGCGGGGTACCAGGTGCCGGGAGCCGAGTCTGGAGTGGCGGTCCCGTGGAGTTGGTGCGGATCGGTCTGCGGAGCCGCGCTGCACTCCCGCCGCCGGCGTGGTCCTGTACTCGGCGCCCGCATCCGGAGCCCGCGTCCCCATCATCAGGGCTGTGTGTGTGTGTGTTGGGGGGGGGGGCGACAGCGGTTCACGAGACACGGGAGGGCAGCGCGGGGCAGGCTTAGATGAGGCGATAGGTGCCTTTGTACTCAATGACCGACGGAGCTGCTAATAAACTTCTCCCAGCCGTCGTTACTGTTACCCTTTGGAGGTCTTGCGGAGGGCCGTGGCGGGACGCCCCGGGCGACGTTGGGCGGTGACAGTGAAGTCAGGGATGGAGCGCCACCCTGGGGAGGACGGGCTGGCGGGGCGCCGTCGGTGGGGGCGGGACGGGGCTTCGGGGGAGGCGGTGGCCCCGGCCGACCTAGCGTGCGGGCGCGGCGAAGGTAGGCCCTAAAACGGCGGGGTGGGGAGGGTGGCACGAGGGGGGGCGTGGCGTGGAGGCGGCGCCCTCGGAGGACCGCGGCGGAGCCGGCTGCCGGGCTGTGGGCTTCCCGGGGGGAGGAGCGGGTCTGCGACGGACGGGCGGAGCTGCGGGGGCCGGGCCGGGCTAAAGGCTGCGCGCTGCTGCCGGCGGGGGGAAGCCTCCCGCCCGCCTTGCTGCCGCCGGCCGGAGCCATGGGCCGCCCGGTCCTCCTGCTCCTGCTCCTGCCTTTGCTGGCACCGGGGGCCGCCCCCGCCGTCCACCCGGCTTCGAGGGCCCTCGGCAGACTCCACTTACCAACCAAACCCACACCCCGCCACACGGTAGTTAAGAACTACTCAGTTCGTTACTTCCATCAGAAGGTAAGGGGAGCCGGGCGGGGAGGGCTTCGAGGTCCCAGATCTCAACCGCCGGGATCCCCTCCTGCTCGTGGAGCCGGGTACCGGAGCCAGCTCTTAAGTCCCGACTCCCCCGCTGCCGCCGGGAAACCTGTGCGGTCGGGTTCACGCTTCCCAACAGGTGGTGGAATCCCCTCAGTTCAACATTTATCCCCGCCCCTTATCAATCATTTGATCCCGACCTCAGCTCTCCCGGGAATCGCTCTCACCCTGTATCTTTAAGAATCTGTTTCTGAAAATTTCCTGCTTTGAGATGCCTCAATCCAAACTCCTTTGACTTTTTCCAAATCGAAACGGTTGAGTGACATCCTTGGACTCCTGCCAAAAGGCATCCCTGCACAGAAATTATGCCTTTTCCTATTAGATACTGTAGAATATTAAGGCAAAGGGCCAGCCTGTCATCTCAGGATTAGCTCGAAGTTGATTTTATACCCACTCTTCCTCCCCCCTCTTTTTAATAGAATTTTTGATAGTTCCTCTTCTCTACGACGGAACTACATAGCCTGTACTCATAAAGTAAGTTGTAGGCACAAGTCAGTTTTTGAGGTGTGGTGTGGCAGGGGCAGGGTCTCTAGTCTGAAATTTGAGTTTAGAATTTGTCGTTGTTAATTGTTGTGCTGGTACCATGGTTTGAACTTAGAGCCTCTTGCTCTCCTTTGGCTTTTTCCTCATGAATGACACGCTACCTTTTGATCCAACTTCCATTTTCTCCTTTTTTTTCCCCCTTCCTCTCAGACTTTATGCTTTTTTGCTAGTTAATTGGAGGTGAGAGTCAGATTTGTCTGCCTGGGCTGGGTTCGAACCTCCATCCTCAGATCTCAGTTTGAATAACTAGGATTTTAGGCATGACCTTTGTACTGGGAACTAAAAAAACCCCACATTTCCATGAATATAATCAAAGTTTGGGCTGATGATAATAGATTTTATAATGTCAAAGTATTTATCTCCAGATACTGATAATTTTCATACAGGTTTTTTTTTTTGCTGCATCTTATTCACTAAAAGTTGTATTGGAGGGAAAACTTGGAATAGAAGATCTATAAAATCTCTAGGAATGATGAAAAGAAACAATCAGCAGAAAGGAGGGAGGGTGATGAAAAGCTACAAGAGAATGAATGAGTTATTCCTGATCTATGGTTCTTTGTTTTAGTTTCCTTTGCTAGCCCTTTCACTCTTTAGAAATATAATTTAAAATTGGTTCTTTGTCTACTTTGGTGATTTCCAAATTATGTTTGGGTTTACTAACTTACCTATTCCCAATTTGGTATTACTTTTGTACTTTAGACACAGATTCCACACACACACACATATTACTATAATAATTTCCTAACATATATTCTAATTGGGTTTTATTACATTAGAAAACTTTAAACATATGTTTTCATTATATACTCAAAGTGGTTGTCAATTTCTGGACCATGGATTTTTAGTTCTGACTGTGTGTAACTCAACTTTAATTTGTAGTGTTTGGGATCAAACCAAGGCCTTGACAGTATGAAGCAAACACTATCATTAGCTACTTCTCCAACCTTTGGCTTTTATTTGAGATAGAACCTTGCTATGTAATTCAGGATGGCCTTGAACTTGGTAATTCCCCAGCCTCTGACTCCCACACTTGTGGTTACAGGTGTGCATCACTATACCAAACTCTTTTATGTCTTTTATACTAAAATCATTAATATAATTAAGGCTCAGTTTCTATTTAAGATTTTTATTTTTTATCAGACTTTATCATGGTTTGTCTGTTATAGATGTCCAAGTGACAAGCCTCCCAGCTTTCTTTACATGCACATGAAGGACATTTTATGGGATGGCTTCTGTAAATAGACTTACTTAGTCCATGGAGTTGTCTATCCCCTGCTTAAAATGCCTTTCTAACTGTGATTGCAGATAAAGACCAAACTTCCTGGCATCGAATCCATTGGTTCTCACTGCATAACACCAGCTTGCATTTCCAGCTTGATGCCTTGTCTCCTGGCCCAAATCCCACACACTTCCTCTTAGCCACATGGAGCAACAGATTCCAGAAAAATTGGCTTCTTGAGAAGTTCTGTCTGCAATACCACCTATCTTCTACACTACCCTTATTTTTTCTCAGCTGAAGGGTCACACCTTCTGTGAAACCTTGTCTTTTTAGGGCAATTTAGTTAGTCTTTTTTTTTCATTTTGCCTATATACCAGTTTGTGTGTGTCCCTCCAGCTAGATTGCACCTTTTAGTTCCTAAAAGAACTTATAAAAAGTATAAGGGTTTTCCATTTCCAGTTTTGGAGGAGGGTTGGAGAAAGACCGGCAAGTATCCAGCACAAAGGATTGCAAGAAACAGAAGCTCCAAAAACCTCAAGCAGCAGGCCAAGGAAATGGGGGAAATATGGCTTTCAAGCAGAAACAAAAAGATGAAATTTGGGGGCTGGGGGGAAAGGGTGTATGTGTGTGTGTGTGTGTGTGTGTGTGTGCATGTGTGGTGGAACGTCTCCTTGACCAAAAGGGTAATCAAGAAATATGGTAAAAAGTAAGCAGTTCCTTCAGCCTGAGAGCATGGTGACCCTTGATTCCATTCTTAACAACTTGATTCCATGTTATTGTATCTCTTGCCACCTATAGCTGGTAGGAAGTGTTGTTTTGGAACTTTGTTAAACAATTTAAGAATAAATATTTGCTGGGTGTGGTGACAAAGCCTGTAATTCCAGAACTTGGAAAGCAGAGACAGTAGAATTGCAAATTCAAGGCCAGACTCATATGTAGCAAGATCCTATTTTAAACACAATAAAAAGGAATAAACATAGTGTTGTACACTTGTAATTGCAGTACTGACCAGAGTGATACAGGAGAATGGGGCGTTTGAGGCCAGCCTGGGCTACAATAGTGAGCCACAAAAACCAAAAGTAAGCTGGGAATGTGGCTTAGTGGTAGAGTGTTTGCTTAGCATTGTAAAATCAATAGCCCAAAAGACAAAGATTTTCTACTATTCTCTTTCTCTAAAGAACCCTGAAAAAGACAGCCTAACAGTCCATTCTCCTTCCCATTGAGAAGGTCCTCAGGCCTCCTTTTAGCCTGAGGAGCCAGGCTAGCCCTGGGTTTGATTCCTTAGTACCACATAAGCAGAAAAATCCAGAAGTAGTGCTGTGACTTAGATGGTAGAGTGCAAGCCTTGATAGAAGCAGCTCAGGGACTGTGCTCAAGCCCTGAGTTCAAGCCCCAGGACTGCCCTCCCCTCCCCAAAAGTACATTTTTGTTATAAACAAACTACAAGGCATAAAATAAATAGTTGTGAAATTGTTATCATAATTAAGGGAGTAAATGACTAAAGAGTACACCAACAAGCAAAGACTATAATTTAACAATTAAAAAAATTTTGTTGCTTCTGCATTTTTCAAAAATGTTTTTACGAGTTTACAGTAATTATACAGATGAGGATTTCATTGTTGCATTTCCACAAGTTTATAATATGTTCTAATTGGCCTCATTCTTCAATTTTTTTTTGTTTAAATCAGTTGTGGGGCCTGAACTCTGGGCCTGGGCACTGTCCCTCAGCTCTTCAGCTCAAGGCTAGCACTCTATCATTTGAGCCACAGGGCCACTTCCGGCCATTTCTGCTTATGTGGTGCTGAGGAATCGAACCAGGGTCTCATGTATGCAAGGCAAGTGCTCTACCACTGAGCCACCTTCCCAGCCCTAATTCAGTTTTTTAGCAATTATTTTCTTCCTTTTTTTTTGTAAAAGTCCTCAAATATTGAGTTAGTAGGAATATGTGATTTATTTTTACCTGATATAGCTACATCAGGATATTACAGGAAGGATGTGCCCATGTCACTCTGGGTACCTGTGATGTCAGTGTGATAACAGGATATCTAGGGTACCTGACTTGAGAAAACAGTGCTTTACTGCTGCTTGTTTTTTGGTGTGCTGGTCCTAGGATTTGAACTCATGGCCTGGGACCTGTCCCTGAACTTTTTTTGATTGAAGCTAGTGCTCTACTGCTTGACCCACAGCTCCATTTCTGACTTTTTTGATGGTAATCATAGATAAAAGTCTCCGGTCTTTCCTACCTTGGTTGACTTTAAACTGTGATCCTTTGAGCTCAGCCTCCTGAGTAGCTAGGATTAGAGGTGTGTGCCACAAATGCCCAGCTTCACTGCTTATTGCTTTCCCCTTTCGCCAAGTTCCTCAGGCTAGAAAGAAACCTGAGGTCCTTCTCAATGGGAAGGAGAATGGACTCTCATTAGGCTGTCTTTTTTAGGGTTCTTTAGAGAAAGAGAATAGTAGAATGTCTTTATGTCTTTCCTGCTATTGATTTTACAATCTAAGAAAACATAGGAGAGAGGGAGGTTTTTCTATTAATAAAGACTTATTCTAAGTAATTGATTCATATAATTGTGGATTTTTTTTCTCTCCTGGTTCTGGGGCTTGAACTCAGGGCCTGGGCGTTGTCCCCGAGCCTCTTTGTGCTTAAGGCTAGTGCTCTACCACTTGGGCCACAGTGCCACTTCCAACTCTTTCTGAGTAGTTTATTGGAGATAAGAGTCTCAAGGACTTTTCTGTCCAGGCTGGCTTCCAACCACAATCCTAAGGTCTCAGCCTCCTGAGTAGTGAGGATTACAAAAGTGTGAGCCACTGGCGCCCTGCTAATTGTGGAAGTTTTATAAATCCAAATTTCTGATTAGGCTGATGACCCAAGGAAGAGCTACAGTTTGAGTCTCCTGGCTTAATTGGCCTGCTTGCTAAAAGTCATTAAGGCCTTAAACCGATTGGATGAGAGGCCCAGCCAAACCGGGAGAGTAGTGTACTTGACTCAGGGTCCACTGATTTAAATGTTAATTACATTAAAAAAAATCCCCCACAAAAATATCCAAAATAGTGTTGGACCCACTATCTGGGCATCATGGCCTGGACAAGTTGACAAATAAAAGTAACCATCACATCTACCAGAGTTACCAATATTATTAAATGGAGTGACATTGAAAAT